AGGCGCCTTCCCTGCACGCCGTTTGCCTTGGAGCCCCTACGCACAGCAAACGGGTTTGAGTGCACAAGAGCTGCTTTATACAAGCAAACACTGAAGGCGAATCACCATTTCAAAAAGCTGTGAGTTTAGTTGCAATTCCTGGGAAGTGCTGGCAAATTAAAGAAAAAGAAAATAAACGAAATACAGGATTAAACGAAATAAGAGCATTAAAACTCAGTGCCTGCTCCGCTATCTCTATAAACAACACGCAAACAGCTGATGAGTTTCTAATTCTCTAACAATATAATTCAATGATTGGGTTCTATTGTCTTTTGAAGTGAAAGAGCTGGAGATGTGTTTCCAATTACTCCATTTAGTGGAAAGTACCTTTTTGCTCCATTTGTAATTATTTTATTATAAAATTCATTCCTTTCAGATACTTCTAAACACTTACGTGTTTTAATGTAGCTTTGTGCAAATGAAAGCTCCGGTCAGGAAATACTAGCAGCGGTAAGCCAGAGGGATGAGCTGCCAGCACTGCTGCGACTGAGAATGAAACAGCACAGGTTTTCCTGGAGATCTTCAGACATAAATTGTTTTAAAAAACGCTGGTTGTACTCAGGGAAAACCGTGGCTTCCTGGGGCTGATCCATCACGAGAATTAACGCAGCTTTTGCAGAGCCCGTTGCTGGCCGGAACGACTGTGATTTTTTAGCTTTATTTAATGTTATTATTTTTAGATGCAGTGAACGTATTTCACACATTTTGCCTTTAGGGATGCCTCTTTATCCCAGCGCTTGGCTGCGCAATGTAGACGGGTTCGTACACCTATGGCTAAGGCCTGAAAAAATAGTCCATAATTAGGCTCCCGCAGCGTAAGCAGGCAGATTTTCAGAAGCGCTGTGCACCCAGTAGTTCCTGCTGGAGCCAATAACCTCTTAGATACACGTACCAACAGGGATTCAGGCAGCCATTGTAAGAAAAATCTCGGTCTGCGATTTTAATCGGGCTGTACTTGAACGCTGGGCTGCGGCGCGCGCGGGGCCGTTCATCCTGCGTCTCGCGCCGCGCGCGGGATTCGGCGGGGGCCCCGCGGCGCTGAGCGCGTCCCGCGATGAGGATCGGCAGCGGTACTCCCAGTTCTTCCTCGCACAGTAAAATGAGAACACAGTTTGCTGGCAAACCATTTCCTAGGAACCACGCTGCTGCTGCTGGCCGGGTGTCGACGAGCTGTGACAAGTCTGTCTCCCTGTGCGGAAGGCCGGTTCCTCTGGCTATCCTTATCCTCAGCAAACATGTTCTGAGATTTTGGGGTGATAAAACATCTGTTTTCTAATCTTCCTCTGATGCACCCCGCTGTGAAATCAGCTACAGTTTTAGAGCACTAATCATAGCCGTGCCCCTTCACAGCTATTCTGATAGAGCAGCGCATGGTACCACGGGATCTCTGGCTACTTGGGGATTTTTCTCTTTGAAGTGCCGTGGAAATCGTTTTCAAGGAAATGCAGCAGCTGGAGTTGAGGTAAATGATGTATTTGCCTCCCTTTTTTTTTTTTTTTCCTTCCCCTAGGTTTAGACAGCGGCACAGCTCAGCCAGAACAGGCTGAGAGGCGCTCGCGGAGACCAGGCGGCACAAAGTGACATCTCTCGTTCCGTACGCTTACCTCCTCTCAGCAGCCTGTTTTCAGGTTTTTCCCACAGAGCGCTTTCTTCTTTTCAGTACATGTTCTTTTCCTTCACAGATCTCTTTCTTATCATTGATGATATTTCCTGAATAAAAAATGATTTTATTGGTGTCAATCACGTCGTCATTTGAACGTTGATTTCTCTGGTACTTAACGAGATGCTGTCATCTTTTGTGCATCATTAAAATAAAACTGATCGTATTGCATAAGGAAATTCAAAAAGTTGAAGAGGAGAAGACAGTAACGCGGTGCTTGTTTGGCCAGTTGGTTTAAGCCATTCTAAATAAACTTCGTTTTTCTTAATGCTGTGGCTCCGAATGCTACTGCGGTCAGAAAGGTCTTTAAACACAGAGTTGCTACAGCTGTCTTGGGAAGTCCCTAACCTTTCACTTGTCAGAGACTGGGAGACAATATCAGGGAAAGGATCCTGATACGCTTTTCTGTTTTTGTATTCTGTTTTTGTATTGCTCCCTCTGCACCGCTGCTGGAATCCAGAGAGCAACTCAGCCCGCAGCTCAGGCTTTTATTTTAATATAAAACTAAGTATCATCCCACTGATGAGCCACTAAACTAGACACTCTCTGATGACACCAAGAAATATTTCTGACAGGTATTTGCTAAAAACACAGAACATGACGATGTGTTTTTTTTTTTTTTTCCCCCAGTAAAGGAAGTTCTCAATAGTCTTGTTACATGTCAACCACGTAATTCTGATGGGATGAAGAAGGAACCGTTAAATAAGGACTAGTTTGTCGGATCGCCTCTACCACTCTGTCCTCATGCTTACTGTCACGATGTTCTGTGGGTTCAGTTTCCGTCAGCCGGAAAGGACGTTCTTCGCCGGGGGTTTCTTTCATCGCTCTTCTGACAGGTGTTCTTCGCAACGTGATGGTTTATCCTTGAGCTTCTGGGCTTCTTGAAAAATGCCCTTCAGTTTTAATCATTTCTATTTGTTAATTTCTGTTTTTTTATGTGCATCTTCTGCTTGTTCTTAGAAAATTTTTCACTGCTTTGGGAAATGACCTAGGGAGGAGTTTAATACTCTAGCTAATTTCAACAGGCATCTTTTTATTTTGTTTCTATTTCGCTGGCAGACTGGATACAGTACTCACTTCTTTTCTCTGCTAGTGTAATCATTATATTAATAAAAGCAGATACTTGGACGCTATCCTTTGCTGTGACGCTTTCTGTAGATCGTGTGTACATTAGTAGTAAAAGTACTCAGGAATTACTTTATATTTAGCTACTGCTCTGTAGGAAAACATGGATTTCCAGCAGTTACTTAGTTCTCCTTTATGGAGCTGTGAGCTGGGGATGTGGTTAGGAAAATGATCTGACTAAACAGTACTTCTTTATAGCAACTTTCATATCACAACACCCTGCATTTCTATATTATCTTTCCTCTAAACATTCCAGCTGACTTTCCAAGAATTGTTTTAAATGGTCCTGTAAAGTGTTCTTATTTCTTTCTGTTATCGCTCTGAACTGTTTGTGCTTGGTTTGGCAGCGTTTCATCTGTATTTTCTACCAAAGTATTTCTGGGGAAGGGAAGGCTTGTGCACATTTGTCTTCCCAAAACAATGCATGCTATTTACATTGGACAATTTCTACATCCACTTCCATTTTCAAATTATTCCGGAGTAAGGTATAAATTCTTAAAGGAACTTATGTACTAAATCTCCAGTAAGCCTAGGTTTAAGTACCACCCAGAATGGGGACCTTAAGGAAATCAGATTCCGAATGGCTCAGAACTGTGATCGATTCGGGCATTGATTTTTTGCACTTAGCAGCCTCCGATGACCCCATCAGATTAAAGTGTTTTTCAAGGTACTAGAGAACTGCCTGTCTATGGTTCTGCTATTTGAGGAGGATTACTACTGCGAAATCAGTCATGGACTTTTGTTTGCTCTTTCATGAAAAATGCTGCATCTCTCTTTCCAAAAGTTTGGAAATTGATTTTGGATGTAATCTGGATGTCTCTTGGAGGTCTCTCTGAAAGGATTATATGTTAGTTAAAATTGATATAAAATGTCTGAGTACCAATTTATCATAATCACAAGAGGCTGAAAGCAATTTTCGGCATAAAGCCACTGGCTTTATCACCCAGACTGAGCATGCTATGACTCATCCTTGCTGCCCTTATTCAGAAACGCCTGAGTGCTGATAGCAACCCAACATACACCATCCCAAGCATTGCCTCAGCCAGAGAACGCTTGTCGTTTAGAGCAGAAAATGATGCAGTTACCACATATACCCACAGCTAGCAAAATGCTGACTTTCAGTGGCACTAACTTTACTGTCTTCAACAAAGATAATGAATTTATGTTGATAATAAAGAGCTGACCCTACATTTAAGACTAAGTATTACTTTGCATTTTCATATGCTACTGCAATTTCTCATCCTCATGGGAAATGATGCTGGACCTTGAAAAGTAACAGTAGAAAAAAAAAATCAAGTTAATAGTATTTGGGACCTCCTAGCATCAGGAATTAACAGAATTTTCATCAGAAAAACCTTTTCCTGTGAGATTTCAGGCCCAGCTGTACATAGAATTTATATAAATACATGACATCATTGTCATGCTATACTTCAGAGTCTGCTCTGATTTCAAGTAAAAGAAAAATGTTTTTTGTCTCTGAAATGCCTCTGGGTGTACATATATATATTTCTTGTCATTTCAGTTGTGAAGTAAGTTCTCCATACTGTCTAAATGATTCACACTTTTTGAAATATTTGAAAAAGTCCCATAAGTCTCCCTGAAATAAAATGCAAGATGAAGGGTCATGTTTTCTCACTGGAATGAGTGGTCTCCTTTTTTATTCAGAGTTGGCTTTTGCTTTATCATCTGTGTAAATTGTCTGAGATAGTGGAATGGGTGAGGTTGCCAAAGAAATGCACTAACATTAATGCTTTGAGTTTAATCTTGAGGCTCTGAATTTTATGGCAACAGGATTAGCTGCTGTGATTCAAAAATGTGCGGAGAAGTACCAATAGAGGAAAACCAGCACAGTTTATGAACTTATCAGCAACTCCCAGCACACTCAGAGATGCCCCTATAGAGTTCAAAGTGCTTCCTCCAATGCCCATGTTATAAGCCATTGCCTTTGTCAGGGGGTAGTAGGGGACAGTGAAGTACATACATTACGGCCTCGAGTCAAGAAAGCACTTAAGCATGTGAATAAGTCCACTTGTAATCAGGTAAGCACTTAAGTCCACACTTAATGTGCCCCAGCACATTACAACATATAAATCTATAATTACTACTTAGCACAAAAACAACGTAATTAATTTATATAGGTCCATGCACATGGAAAAATATAAGGATGAAAACCCACCATATTCTGGGACCTGGCCTGTTCCACGTTTCAACAACAGTCGCACTCTCCTGCCGCCAGACTTGATTAGCTCTATTGCTCTGGCATGTGTCATGTCCCTTGTGCTTTCTCCATTGATTTCAATTATTTGATCTCCTACCTGTCAGGTAAGAAGAATATTGAGTTAGATAGAATTGCAATAAAATGATTGTTTCAGAAAGAGACATATTCAATGGATCACAGGTTACTTGAATGACAGACAGACACATCAATGTAAATTTGTTCCTGTCTGTCGGAGGAATATTACTGGCAGATTAAATAACCTCCAAAATGGATTCTGAGTGTGGTAGATCAAATGCCGCTCATCTTCTGCTAAAATCAGTGTAATGTATTTGTAACTTGTCTCCTGTCTTTTGAAATGCTGGCTATGCCGGAATCACTGGAAACACGTTATCTGTGCTACGCTTTAATTTAGTGTTGCATAGGCCTGAAAAGACTGTTGCTGCATTTGATTTGCTGTCTTCACATGGAAAAGAGAGGTTCATAGTATAATTATCCAGGCCCATCATTTCAAAATCCAAATCTTAGTAGCAAAGGTTCATACCAAATTAAGAGCTATTATGAAGAAAACTATTAAAGAAAGTTTAGTAGCTATGACAGTCATTGCACAGATCGAGTAGATTTGTTAAGAGCTCTTATAAAAGCATGTTTTGAGCCATGTATCCGTACATGTTTCTTGCTCCAAGTAAGCACAGCCCGAGCCTGAGGCACCCAGTTCGAAGAGCGATCTCCAGAGGTCTCATTACAGATTGCTGGCACTGCTCTCCCAGCTGGCTGCCCAGTCAGAGTTAGATTCATTATTCTTTTCCTACCTCTATTTCTATAGCTGTAAATTGGGGGGTTGATGTCTGTATCTGCCTTCCACTCTAATCTTCCTCCCAGCTTTGCCTCCCACTGTGATGTTCTGGTTCTGCTTATCTATTACCTTTCTCTTAGTGAGAAGAGCTGGTGGTAAATGCTAGAAACCGTCTCAATGAAGAAGGGAAGGATCACTTTTCACTGCAGCTAGTCACCAGGGCAGAGAGAATATGTAGGAAGCAACAGTTGTACAGCTTATTTGATGCTGGCATATTGCTGCCACGCACTTGTATGGCAAAACAGTTAAATCAGCAACACAGTGAAGCGACAGGTGAGCATCGAATTAGCGGTGCCAGAGCCTTCAGAGCTAACATACCTCAGCCGGAGCCCAGATCCAGGGCTGATTTCCCAGTGAGCAAGAGGAGCCCATTGGGGTCCTGCTGAGCAGGTCTGCGAGGGGAGCATGAGGACCCCAGTGGACAGGCTCAGGGAGCACATTTGTCCATGCCAGACGTGCCTATCTGCTCAGCAGGATCACACTAGTCTTGGCCTGCATCTACGGCCATCTCACAGCAGGAGGAACCGCGCATAGCCAATACCTTAAAATAACACTACTGCATCCATCACAGAAAGGCTTTTAAAGAGACCATAAAGATTTCATGACGATGGGCACTTCCTTTTCATCTTGCAAGCCTGACCTGAAAAAATCAGCTCTTTGCTAGCCATGGACATTGAAATGTTTTCTATTTTCTGTTTTCTTTGTCACTATTGTATTTCTGTCAACTAGAAGTGTAATCCTTCAGATGGTTTCCTTACTTTCTTAGTCTGAAATATAGCATTTACCAAATAAATGTGCATAATATGAAGTGTCAACAAGACTCATTGCATCAAAGAAAACTGGAAGGGATGTCAAGAAGCCATCTAGTCCCTACTTTTGCTCAGGGACAAAAAGAATGCTACTAAAAGCATTATGGGCAGTGTTTTTCAATAGGAATTCATACCTTGTCAATAGGAGTTGTAGCCTATTTTCAGAACTCTCCTAGGATACTAAAAGCAATCTATTCCAGAACTTAAGTAAAAAGCCATTGATCGGAATAAAACCTCTCAGCCCAGCTATCATGCTTTATAAATGCTGCACACTGAGCAGTGGAGAAAAAGAAAAAAAAAGGAGATTATTTTGGGGAGAAAAGCCATACTTCTGCAAGGCGAATTTCTTTCTGGGAGGATTTTCTTTGCTAAGAGAAATACATTTGGTGGTCCTGTACCATGCAGTATGCCCTTTTAGACACTAATGATGACATCCAGACCACACTGGAAAGCAGCGCAGGTGCTCTTTGAGTGAAGCAATGCTCTCCCTTGGGCTTGGCCAGATGGGGCTGTTTGCATTACCCTGACAGCTCTGCCTTTGGAGAGGATGGCAGGATGTGGTTTCTGCACCACGAGAGGCCAAACCAGAAACTCTCCCTACCACTTCTGCCGCACAAAGACAGAAGATGGATTTATAGCACTTTCCTCCCAAGACTACTATTAAGACAAAATGCAGAACAAATTCAACCTATTTGGGAAAGACTGCTTCTAAATGTCATGAAGCAATTAAATCCTGATGGAAGAGTTTAAAGGTAATTTGCCAGGCCAGGCTAAACACACTTGACAGAATACTAAAAAATTCCAAAGTCTTAAAGAAAGACAGCTCTTTTTTTGTGCCATCTTGCCTGGATAGACCATGTTTTGCAGGAGGTACATAAAATGATCTTGTTAGAATGTTTTGAGAGAAGAACTGCCAGATTAGATCAAACGAAGGAGGTGTTTTTAACACTCCTTGATAAATAGTCTTTAAAATGAATACTAATGAAAGTTATTCAGAGCATGCACAGTCCTTCAAATAAAATCCTCTGCACTCCCAAGCAGAAAGATAGAAAGAGATTTTAATGTGTGTAAATGTGAGTTTAATGTGTAAAAAGGTTAAGCTAATGTCACATTTTTCCCTTGCTGACTGCTTTTCTTCTGTTCTTATTGGACATTATGCAGGAACTATGTCGTAGGAAAATAACCTTTTCTGTACTTCAGTGGATTAAAATATTTTTTTCTCTGTAGGCAGTATGATGTAACTGATTTGATAGTTTCCTTTTTATTATAAAATCTTATGTGCAAATAACCTTGGAAAACTTTAAAAAAGCCAAGTGTCTTGGTTATGTGAGTGAGCGGGGGAGAAGAGAAACAAGTTCTCAAAAATTAGATACTCTGGAATTTACATTAGAAGGTTTGAGACTGGATTTAAAATAAATAGTTGCAGGCGCAGTGAGTTAATTGTTTTCTATGCATTTGTGCCTTGTGGCTGACTGATGTATAACTGAATTAGACTGCAATTGCAGCACAGGTTCAGCTCTAATTAGATTAAAAAAAGCAACATGGAAGAGAAATGTTATAAACACTCTTACCTTGAGAAAAGCATCAATTAGAACTTGCACTTTTATATCTGGGGAATTCATACAAAAGAGAAATCTTGACCAAGGAGAGGTTTCCCTTGTGTCTAGCAAGGTATGACTTTGTATTCTTGCCTTTTCTGCAGTTAAGCATTTATAACCTGCACTTCCCCTCACCAGGTGGATTCTCTGATGTTTAATATGGGATGAAATCAAGCAATGCACTTTCCCTGGGTCCCGGCATTAAAACGTTTTCTCTCTCTCTTGCTCTGTCTCTTTCTCCCTCTCCCTACTCGGCTGGCTGTTTTCAGAAAGCAGCAGGCCTGTCACAAACCAAAACTTTCTCTTGAGACCCTTGATCTTCCTTCGTACTCACTTGAAAGACAGATCTCGCACACACTGCTAGTGCAGGTCATTCACCGGGCAGGGGGAGAGACCTGGATTTTGCTTCAGGGTTTCTTCTGTCTTTTGTCACCCCAGTGATTGCTTAAGGGGAGACTGGATATGCCTACACCCTGAAGATACACCCAGGTCAGGCCAGAGATAAGGGCCAGGTAAGAGTAAGTATAGAAACAGGCCTTGAAAGAACCCAATTCCTTGCAGTGTGGCAGGAGCAATTATATCTGGACCATCTGTAATAAAAGCTTGGTCAACGGCCATTGAAAAGGATTCGTTAGCCTCCTCAGATGTGTTTAATTTCACAGCCATACTCTGTATTTTTCCACTGCAAACTGTGATGAAATCACAGAATGACTGAGGTTGGCAGGGACTTCTGGAGCTCCTCTAGTCCAACCCCCCTGCTCAGGCAGGGTTGCCTGAGCAAGTTGTTCAGGGCCGCGTCCAGCTGGATTTTGCGTATCTCCAAGGATGGAGCTTCCACAACCTTTCTGGGCAACCTGGTCCAGTGTTCGACCACCTTCACAGTAAACACGTTTCTTCTCATGTTTAAGGGGAATTACCTGTATTTCAGTTTGTGCCCATTCCTTCTTGTCGTGTCACTGGACACTGATGAACTCTTATTTCCTGTAGTGCCTATGGAAAACAACTGACCGCGATAATCCCATTTACTAATCATCTTTCTAAACAAGATTGCTATTATATTGCATCCACATTACTCTCTTTTCAGGTTCAAAAGTCCATTCCTTTAGTTTTATTTCACAAATCATGTTTTCTCTGTAATTCTCTTCTGCATTCTTTCCAATTTGTTCACAGTCTCCACAAAACATGGTGTCCCAAACTGGAGATATTACTAAGCTAGGAGGTAGGCAGAACCAATTAAAATGATGATAAAATTTCTCCTATGTTTTACACATACCACTCTCCTGTTGTCTTATATAATGTTCCTGGAACTAGGTTTTTTTGCCTTTGTGTAACACATCAGATTTGACACCCACGACTAACTTGAATTCCAAGATTACTTACCCCCAGTATTATTGTCTAGGCAGTTACTCCCCACATTAAATTCCACACCTGAGTTCTCTGCCCTAAAACTAGCACAGTGCACTTCAGTGAATTTTATCATAGTGATTGCTTCAATATGAAAAGTTAATTTTGAAATCTAAGTCAGTTCCTCAAAGTGCTTTTGAGCATTCTGTGAATAGTGGCATCTTGGTGTTAATGATTTTTATTCTATTATTTATCCATAGGTCTCCAGTTAATAATGAAATTATTGAATTGAGCTGGTTTCTTCATAGGCGCCTTGGAACGACACTTGCAATTTCACACTTGCAATTCCAGTTCAAAAGCAAACCATTCAGAGCGTTCTCTGAGAGTGATTATTTGCAGTAACCACATTAAAGTGATTCTACCTAGATTATGTTTCCCTATCTTGTTTCTGTGAATTTCATACAAGCCAGTCTTGAAAGCTAAAAAAGAAGGT